TTTGCTGCCTCTATGCTTAAGTGCACATTTAAGATACCTACCCCAAAATGCGCATCAAAAGCATTATTTTTAACATTTATAAGGAAACTGCTCCGATAGATGCATTCAACATACCTGCACATTGGCGATACCTGCTTTAAAAATTGCGCGACTAGTATCAATTATCAATGAAAGTATTACGTTTACCTGCACTGGCCCTACAATTACCTAATTTTACAACCTTTTATTTAGTTTGCTCATCTTGCAGAACAACTAAAATGGCTATCAATTTATGTAGTTATATAGAAATTAGATAACATTCGGTAAAAATTTCGCTTGCAGTAATTTCTACATGGTAAGTGCTCCGCCAATATTTGGTTTCATAGGGATTCGGATACCTTCCTCATTGAAGTAGTAAAGAAAATTCGCTTAAGTACCTTTTTCGGTTACGTGCACAAGTTTTCCGTGCAAAGAAGGATGTGCAGCTAAGCAAAATATACTGTAGTTTTATTTCATGGTAAGTTTAAATGCTTTCACATATAGAATTTTTACTGATATTTAAAAATCAATTAAGGGTTGCTAACTTTCTAAAAAGTTAATTAAAATATACTTCTTGTATAAGCTTTGAGCTTTGAGCTTTGCTCAAATTTATCATCAGGGTTTCCCATTATCTTAAAATTAAACTTATTTAAAAACATACGCAAGTTAACTAAAATTTTACAATACGGGTTTCAATCGAAAGGTATTTGAGAATGATTTAGTACAGACAAATTTTTTTAATAATTTTGGTACCTATCAATGCCAGTTCAGGATCTGAACTAGTTCGGGCTGAGTTCGAAATCAGTTCAGGACCTCTTTGGACTAGTTCGTGGCAAATTCCAGGTTTATTTCGACTTATTCCGAGACCAGTCCATGTCCGGCATACATATTTATAAACTCTATTTAATTTGTGAAAAGTCACAAGAAATATTTTTTATTACTGTTGTTTTTTACATTTTAAAGCCTAAATGAGTTTACGAGTTCGAAGATCTAATTTGCCAACTTCGAATTCATTCCACAAAAATATCCTAAATAATAAAAATGCAAGTTCAGTTAATTTTTTCGGTATTCGGAACATTAAAAAAATGAGGCAATCGTGAAAAATCACCATCTCCATCGAAAACCAGAATCGTGGAAAATGAACATTAAAGCTCTTTTTTAACACTTTTTATTACTTTTGAAAGGTAAGCGCATCTTGTGTTTATAGAACTTAATACTAATCAAATAATTTTCGACCCTTGAGGTGGTGGGGTGCAATAACACCATACGCAATAAGACCATAATGGCTTTATTTAGCTTTGCGATTAGAAATAAAACCATAATTTCGATACGGCCTTATTTCCAACTGGAAATGGAAATAAAGCCGTTATGGTTTTATTGCGCTTTTTAAAATTTTTGTTTGGAAAACATAAAACCAGGTTGTGCGGAGAAGGCTTGGGGATGGCGCGAGTGCAGTGCAGCGAAACGGTGGGGTCGCGAGCCGGCGCGGCGCGATTCGCCGCGGGGGATGGAGCAAATGTGCACCCGCCAAGTTATGCACTCGCAAAATTAAAACTTAAATAAGTACATATATTTATTTTCCAATATTCAATAAATCCGGAAATATCAAATAACTATTTATTTCATTTTATTAGTAATAATTTGTATCAATTTAAATAATTCAGTATCATATTACGTACATACATTTGAATGGTCGCCTCAAATAACGTTGTCAGCGACAAAATTATAATTTTACAAAATAGAAAAAAAACTTGTTTACTGACGCACAAACGGGGATTTAATTGGGGTTTCTACTTTTTCGGTATATCACTCTTCAAGAATCTTGCCTTTAAAAAAACAAAATATACACATTAATATCTTTAAAATCAAGAAAACTAGCTTTGAACAAATTGTCGCTTACAACGTTATTTGAGGCGACCATTCATATGTATATTTTTAACGAAATCGAACAAACAAGCTGATTCGATAACGGAACAAAGAACCACTAAATTTAATTTCGGCGCGCACATAACACACTGTGGGTATAATAGCATAGCTGAGATGTTGGTACGGCTAGAGCTAGTACTTTGAAGAAGCGCGGCCGAAGGTCGCCTACTCAAAAAGGAGTTGTGCGTAAAAATATTGCATAGGACAAAACCCCAATTTTTAAAACTTAAATAATAATTATTTTAATTGTTGGTACTCAAAATAATTTTACGTTTTTATACCCGAGCGCACTTGTGCCAGGGGTATATTAATTTTGTTCACATAACGGTTGTTTGTAACAGCCAAAACGAATCGAGATAGACATAGACAAATGTATACATAAATGATCAGAATGAAAAGAGAAATCGATTAAACCATGTATGTCTGTCCGTCCGTCTGTCCGTCCGTCCGTGTACACGATAACTCGAGCAAAAATTTAGATATCTCAACGAAATTTGGTATGTAGGTTTCATTGTTTTAATTTTTCACGTTGACGAAGAATTTTAGTTTAGTTTAGTTTATTTCTGCGGGCTTATTGCAATCCACCCTTAACAAGATGTTGTATACTGTCGTATTGTTGTATGTCGTAAACTTTAAACGGCTAAAACCATATTTAAGAGACTCGCAAGCTACCATAAAATTTCACACCGTTAAAAATACTTGGCTGTGGTTTCAGGTCCTCTTCGCATTTATCTAGCCGTTAAAATTTTTACGACATAGAGGAGGATAAAAATACCAGTTAGAAAAGGACTTGGCATCATTTGGGTTTTCCATTTGGCGCCAATTAACTCAGAAGAGAAGCGTATAGCGTGCTTTATTGGATTCAATCATGTGTGTAGATAAGTTTTGTTTTAGTTAGGAAAAATATCTGCTATTTTCCAATTTTTCAAATTTCCAAAGAACGAAGAGCACCGGAGAAACTCGACACATCGAGCCCTTATCGCGAATATAACGCAAGCGAAATTTTATTTTGATGCACAAATGCTCTTAGGGCCGTTTGCACCATGTCTTTTTAATTCTAATGGTCTGATTATGGCAACTTGACGTAACTTAAAGGCTCTCACTTAAACATTCTCTTAAATGGATGTTGCTTATAACTGAACAGCCGAAACTTAACGTAACTTAATGCCATGTCGAAATCTGTTTCATTTTTAAGTTAAGTTAGGTTAAATTGCCATAATCAGGCTTAAACTCCCAGTTAAAGATCGTTATCAACGTAATCGATACCCAGCATATATCATGTGATCGATAATGCAGTCGCTGTGCTTAACTAAAGGATGTACCTCCAGTTAGCCTTAACTATACTTGGTGCAAACGGCCCTTAGAGCATCTATTACTGCGGCTTGGAGGAAACTTGAGATTGTTTGTTTGTTCAATTCCCTGAACCGTCCCTGTCTTGATATGGCATTTAATTTTCTGTAGTAGTTGAAAATATGCACATTTACTTTTGCAATCACGAAAATTGTGATAGGCTCCCACTGGGAAAATAGATGAGCACCTTACGAGATAATCCATGTTTTATTCCAGCTTTTAGTACCAAAATTGTGTTCATGGCCAATGTCATCTACTAGTAAAATACAAAAATATCACCTCCGATGACGCCTTACGTTGTCAGTTGCAAAATAACGTGCCGCCGAGGTTATATCCGGTCCTTACCAATTCCCTGCGGAATCTCCATTACTTTAGCTAAGGCGTGGCCGCCTTAGGTAAGTAGGAATTTAGAATGTACATTTGGTATCAGACACACTTCTGAGCCGCTTTACAAAGCAGTAGTGTTTACGTATTGTTCGGCGCTTAGAAATAGCTTCGGCGTTATTGCAACTGACAACATAAGGTGTCATCGGAGGTGTTCATTTTGAGGTCTATTAGTAGATGATACTGGTCATGATGACAATTTTGGTACTCAAAGCTAATAGAAAACATGGATTACCTTGTAAGGTGCTTACCTATTTCCGAGTGGGCTGTCTTTCTTTGATTTCGAATTGTAAACGTATTGCGATCTTATCCCTGTAGTTCTGCTACTGGCAAGAGACAACCTTAAACAACGATTCCATACATTACCCATTGTTAGGCAATTCGCCAGCGACACGTAATAAGACGCCCGTATTGGAAATATTGTATACTAGCGATTTTGTGTATACTGGTAATTGAGCAATGCGCTAGCGAATGACATTGCTTCAATGGCATTGCCATATTAAATTTGCTAGGTAAAGGAATTAGTATCGCAATTGTTAGTTGTAGCAGGAAGGCTACAAGTCACCCGATGTTAGCGATACCAATTCCTTTCCCTAACTAATTTAACATGGCAATGCTGCCGAAGTTATTTGCAAACACCGAGCGGCACGCGTGACTTGTCCTTTTTCTAGCGATTATCTGGTGCAAAAGTGGCGATTGCCAATCGTTAGCGCACTGGCTTATGACCAGCAATGCACAAAATCGCTAATATATGATATTTTCAACACGGTTGTCGCATACCTGTTGCTAGCGAATTGCCAAACAATCGGTAATGCATGGAATTGTTAGCTTATGTCGTCTCTGATCACTAGCTAAATTTCAGCAGAACTACAGGGATTTTACTAGCAACATAGATGTATTGCACATATGGTTACTACAGTGTAATTTGACGAATAAAAATGTTACAAATATTTTACAACACTTTGTTAGAGATCTACCGCTGTTTTTATTAATAATCTACCACTAATTTGGTTTTTGAAGTGACAACATTAGCAGTAGCCGCGCGGCATCTTCGTGAAACGAGTTGTTTCTGCGAGAGTTGTAATAACCAACAACCTCTCCCACAATCGTACGAAGTAATTGGGAGGTGGAATCCCACTGCTCATTTATGTCTAGGCGATGAGGAAGGTGGATTACCAATTTATTTTAAGATATAGGGTTTTTGGCATAAAATAATATAAAAACTCGATTCTCTTGTATATTTATTTAAAGATTTTTTTCATTCTTTAACTACAATTTCTTAGAAGATAACATGAAAATAAAATTGACAAGAAAATTTTAAGTGCAAAGGCTTTGAACTTACTGTTGAGCAACAATGTTTTCAGCATAAAAAACACAAAAACTCGATTTTCTTAAAAATCCGTGTCAGGATTTTTTTCTATTCCATCTTAAATTACTTAGAAAACATAGTAGAGAAGAAATTCACAAGAAGATTTTCAGTAACAAGACCTTTGGGTTGAACTTGGTTTCGATCCACGGTGTAGGGCCTTTCATGTTAATTATTTCTGTTCAGTATTGTTGCTGTTATAAATTAGGCTAAACCTAAAGAAAAATTAAAAAGCGCCGCAGCTCAATGTTTTTGCAGTGCAAAATTAGTATTATGAGGAATTATATTTCATTGTCAGTAACTTAATACTTATAAATAATTCATTTATCCACAACTAACATTAATGCATTCAAAGGCAATGCATTCTGTCTGATTTTTCGGCTTTTGCTGTTATTTGGCTTTCCAATGGCTTAGTCGGCAGCAAACCATTCTGAACTTTTATTGAAGTTTTAACGTTCTGGCTGTCATTTGGATTGTCATTTTCATTGTAGCTCTCATTAAAGCATTCTTGCTGCACTTTCGGCACATTATACGAAAGGTGGGCAGTAAGAGTTGTGATGGCTTCGACTTTGAGTTGAGAGTTATCATCCGAAAGAGCCTTAAGTTATACACTACCCTAGGAATTTCGTCATCCATAATAGAACTGGGAGTTCACTGGTACACCTGTTGACAAGGTACGGGGCGCGGTACCATCATAAGACAGTTGTTGTTGCAATACAGAAGTAAATGCGGATGTTTTTATACGACCTAATGATGAAGCTGCAGAATACTGCTCATTTAAGGCAGAAGTTTCTATTGGCGGAGTTTGAAGATTTGAAGGCCGATTAACCATTCCTTGTGTATTGATGAGGTAGCTCGCGTGAATTGTTGGCTCGATTGTGTACTGCGCCAGTTGCGTCATTGGAACGTTAGGGGCTGAGAAGTAGATAAATAAAACAAGAAGAAAGTCGGTGTTAAAGTGTACTATTTCATTTTGAAATTGTTTTTTATTTTGCTTTTGACTATAATTTTAAAATGAATTAAGAGAATAGTTAAACCAAAAAATAAACTACAGACAGAAATTAAGGTTTCCCTAAACAGCAGACCTCAAAATGTTTATCTCATATAAATGCATGTTTTTTATGATCCCAAGATTTTCGGGATGTCGTTGGTTCAATCCCGGGATTCCGGGATCAGTCCCGGGATTTAGATATTTATCATTTTTCAACAACTTAACATGAAAAAATTGCATCAATATGGTTTGAGAAGCTCTCCTACCACATAATAATTAATAAGTAAATGGGTTTGGAACGTACTTTTTATTTAAAGTGAAAATTATTTCATAAGTAACAAAACGAAAGACAGTAATTAAATTTATATGCATTTAGTAATATTTTAGCGTGTACATATCTGATAAAGTAATTTAAGGTATGTCGAAAAAAACTCGATGCAAAAAATTTATTTTCTGTTTGAAAGAAGTTCATAATACTAGTGGCAGAAATAAAAGAAGCGCCTTAATTCAGCCAGTTTTGTGTATATTTCTTTTGTTTTTTCAAAATTTAAATTTTTTTATAAAAGTCTACCTCATATTACATATAATTAACTGCATATAAGATAGGATTAATTCCAATATTAATTTAAAAAATTCAGTGCAATGTAAAACAAAAATATGGGTATCAAAGGAAATATCTTTTATGGGTTCAAAAGAACGAATAGAAATTTAAAATGCCCCTTTAATCTGTTTTATTTTTTTAGGCTTAACATGTAATTTTTTCAAAAATAAGAATTGCAAAATTTCAAGGATATTCAAGGATAAAATTATAAAAGGGTATTTTCAATACCTACCCGTTCCTTACGCACCAAAAATTGTAATGTTTTAACTCTACATAATCTTCTCTTTCATTTGATACCCATACTGTTTTGTTTTAAGTATTTTGCACTGAAATTTTTAAATCATTTTTTGAATTACTAATATCTTTCAAATTTCAAAGTTCCTTTAAAAAATCCTGACGTCAGAGAGAAAAAATTAAAAACGCAATTTTACAATATTTGGCGAATATATTGATTTTTTGTGTATGCAAAATTGCTTGTCGCAAGGTATTATAAGTATATTTAGCTACACATTTATAAAAAAATTTAAATATTAAATAAACAAAAGAAATATAGCCAAAACTGGTCAACATAAAGCGTTTCTATTGTTGCCACCAGTGTAAATTACAAATCCCGAAAATCCCGCGATTCTACGCAAATAATCCCGGGATTTTCGGGACTTAAAAAAGACCGGGATCCCGGGATTAACATTCTTAATACCTATGTACATGCCTACGTATATAGTACGGCATCCCAATCGCGGTAATCGGGGCAAAAAATTGGTATAACATACACGCCAAGGCGAATTTATACAAGATGGTGTTGTAAAATCAGCTGAATTCTTTGCTTTTAAGAAAATGGAATGGATATGAATAAAAAGTTTTACTAGAAATGTATGTATTAGGGATACCAATCCCGGGATCATGGGATCCCGGTGTTTTTGAGGTCACAAAATCCCGGGATTTGCTTATATTAATCCTGGGATCCCGAACAATTTGAAANGCCAGTTTTGTGTATATTTCTTTTGTTTTTTCAAAATTTAAATTTTTTTATAAAAGTCTACCTCATATTACATATAATTAACTGCATATAAGATAGGATTAATTCCAATATTAATTTAAAAAATTCAGTGCAATGTAAAACAAAAATATGGGTATCAAAGGAAATATCTTTTATGGGTTCAAAAGAACGAATAGAAATTTAAAATGCCCCTTTAATCTGTTTTATTTTTTTAGGCTTAACATGTAATTTTTTCAAAAATAAGAATTGCAAAATTTCAAGGATATTCAAGGATAAAATTATAAAAGGGTATTTTCAATACCTACCCGTTCCTTACGCACCAAAAATTGTAATGTTTTAACTCTACATAATCTTCTCTTTCATTTGATACCCATACTGTTTTGTTTTAAGTATTTTGCACTGAAATTTTTAAATCATTTTTTGAATTACTAATATCTTTCAAATTTCAAAGTTCCTTTAAAAAATCCTGACGTCAGAGAGAAAAAATTAAAAACGCAATTTTACAATATTTGGCGAATATATTGATTTTTTGTGTATGCAAAATTGCTTGTCGCAAGGTATTATAAGTATATTTAGCTACACATTTATAAAAAAATTTAAATATTAAATAAACAAAAGAAATATAGCCAAAACTGGTCAACATAAAGCGTTTCTATTGTTGCCACCAGTGTAAATTACAAATCCCGAAAATCCCGCGATTCTACGCAAATAATCCCGGGATTTTCGGGACTTAAAAAAGACCGGGATCCCGGGATTAACATTCTTAATACCTATGTACATGCCTACGTATATAGTACGGCATCCCAATCGCGGTAATCGGGGCAAAAAATTGGTATAACATACACGCCAAGGCGAATTTATACAAGATGGTGTTGTAAAATCAGCTGAATTCTTTGCTTTTAAGAAAATGGAATGGATATGAATAAAAAGTTTTACTAGAAATGTATGTATTAGGGATACCAATCCCGGGATCATGGGATCCCGGTGTTTTTGAGGTCACAAAATCCCGGGATTTGCTTATATTAATCCTGGGATCCCGAACAATTTGAAATATCGAATTAAGAGTAAGAACTTGTTTATGCATTTTGAAGTATGAATTTTGTAAAATGCCGTCTTGACTGCAATTAACAAAAAGCTTGAAATTGTACTTTTAAATTGCAGACTGAGCTTTTTTTGAAAAAGATTTAAATGAATTTACTCATAGTGTCGCTAATGTAAACGAAACAGAGAGCTTTAACTTGCATTATTTTTTCAACCACAATCACCTCAAATCGACGTGCTGGTAAAAGAAGTTCAAAGATTTTGTAGTGGAGGAGATAGGGGTCATTAACTTCAAATGGCTTATGACTACCTTTTGANCATACATATCGACAAAAATATAAGTTTACAAAATAGAAAAAAAACTTCTTTACTGACGCACAAACGGTGATTTAATTGGGGTTTCTACTTTTTCGGTATATCAGTCTTCAAGAATCTTGCCTTTAAAAAAACAAAATATACACATTAATATCTTTAAAATCAAGAAAACTAGCTTTGAACAAATTGTGGCTTACAACGTTATTTGAGGCGACCATTCATATGTATATTTTTAACGAAATCGAACAAACAAGCTTATTCGATAACGGAACAAAGGACCACTAAATTTAATTTCGGCGCACACATAACACACTGTGGGTATAATAGCATAGCTGAGATGTTGGTACGGCTAGAGCTAGTACTTTGAAGAAGCGCGGCCGAAGGTCGCCTACTAAGGAGTTGTGCGCATAAAAATATTACATATGACAAAACCCGAATTTTAAAAACTTAAATAATAATTATTTTAATTGTTGTTACTCAAAATAATTTTTGGTTTTTATACCCGAGCGCACTTGTGCACAAGGGTATATTAATTTTGTTCACATAACTGTTGTTTGTAACAGCCAAAACGAATCGAGATAGACATAGACAAATGTATACATAAATGATCAGAATGAAAGGAGAAATCGATTAAGCCATGTCTGTCTGTCCGTCCGTCTGTCCGTCTGTCCGTCTGTCCGTGTACACGATAACTCGAGCAAAAATTGAGATATCTCAACGAAATTTGGTATGTAGGTTTCCCTTAATCCAAGGTAGGTTGGTATTGAAAATGGGCGAAATCGGACTTTAACCACGCCCACTTCCCATATAACGGTAATTTCCAGAAATACGAAAACTGCGATATTTTAGTAACTACTGAAGATAATTCACTCAAAATTGATATTTACAATAATTTTCAGACGAAAAATAAGAATATTATAAATTTTTGGAAAATGGGCGTAGCCACGCCCACTTATGGTTACATGTGTATATCTTGGTAACCGCTGCACCAATTTCTTCCAAACTTGGCACAGTTGTTGGCATTACTCCAAGGTAGGTTGGTATTGAAAATGGGCCAAATCGGACTGTAACTACGCCCACTTCCCATATAACGGTAATTTTCAGAAATACGAAAACTGCGATATTTTAGTAACTACTGAAGATAATTCACTCAAAATTGATATTTACAATAATTTTTAGACGAAAAATAAGAATATTATAAATTTTTGGAAAATGGGCGTAGCCACGCCCACTTATGGTTACATGTGTATATCTTGGTAACCGCTGCACCAATTTCTTCCAAACTTGGCACAGTTGTTGGCCTT